TCTTGGCAGGTCTGACCATAACCGCTACGAGATCGAAGAAGACGGCGCGAACCCTGGCAGACACTAAGTTAGAAATGGAAATCCTCAGTCAATGTGGATCTGGAGGACTTGAAGATTATAGACCCTCGCGAATCAACATGGCCAAGTTGAAACTGGAAGGACAACTCGACGTGGTCGAGTACAGTCGAATAACTGTGCCGGAATCGGTCCACATGGGAGATCCGGCAGGGGGTTATGTGGAGATGTTGAAAGCGAGGAACTCCGCGAGAGGGCACCTGATGGCTTGGAGCGAGAAGCGAGTCATGCAGGAATATCTGAAAGAGCTCACGGAGAATTCGAACTTAAATCGAAAAGAATACGGAACGGTAATGTCCTCTGAAGCGAATGAAGTCGGATTGGAAAAATTGCTAGAAATCTCCTGGAGGGCGGCCCTCCAGAGATACTTCGACGAGGCGATGCATGCACCTGCTACGGTGGCGGCATACCTGGCTCATCCTTGCGTGAGAACTGATCTGCAAGTACGGTTGGCTTGGTGCATGATGGGCATCAACAGAGCGGAGTATGAAGCCAGTAATGATTCGAGATCACGAGAACAGGAGCTAGAATTGATGGAAGCTCTGCGAGCATTGATCTCAAAGGACGATTCAGCGATAGCATGGGCTAAGCGAAAGGATGCCCTTTGCTTTGTCAGGTTCGTGGTGGATCGTATCCCCACTCCTGTTTTGGGAGAAAGTATAAAGATCATTCGGCAAAAGGGAGTTGATTGCGAAAGGAACTTCCTTAGGGCACTACTGGAACTATATCAGGACATGGCATTGACCGTGCCAAACAAGGAGTCGAATGATATGGAAAGCTATCGCAAGTTGGAAGAGGTTAGAAGATATTCCAACAAAGAATTGAAAGTGAGCCGGGAGTTGATTGAAGCGGTCAGAGGACAAAAAGAGTTTGCAACACTGGGGAAACTGAAGTCATTCCAATATGTGTCTGGCATACTGGGGATGGCGTATGATCCCTTCGTGAATGAAGAAGCCAGGGAAGCGTACTTCGACTATGAGCAAGTCATAGTACTCAATTTCTGGGTCGAACGTATTAAAGAAACTGGGATGCTGATGGTGGAACAACCCAAGCTGGGAATTATTTTGGAAGAACGAGTGGTCGAACCCTCTGTTCCCAACCTAAGGTGGCAAGTGAGTTTTGATTGTGGTTCTTGGGACGGTCCCTTGAAAACCAGTCTAGTGACGATGTGGGAACTCATGAAGCCTTCTTGGTGCCCTCATCCTAATGCCGGTTTAATCTGGGACATGACGGCGGATATCACGTTAGACCTAGATGATGACGCGAGTTTACATGATCTGGCCATGATACACCATCTGCTGGCCATGAAGTCGACGAAGCGGAAGAGCAATCCATCCACGGAGCTGCCTGAGGAAAGTCCATCGAGCGATTGGTTGAAGCAAGGCACATGCTTGGCTCAACAAAGTAGGATGGAAGGGCATGTTTGCAACTTGGGACACTGCCTGATTACGCTGAGCGAGCAGCATCGACAACTGGCACGATTGTACGGAAGATTGAGCATGTCAGATAAGAGTGCCATGGAGTTGGTTGCAGACTGCCATGGGGTGACGGACGTAAACCTGATCACAGCCTTGGGATTTTGTAGCATGACGAGTTCGATAGAATCACTCGAGCGCCTGGAGCGTGCCCATGAGCTAGTGACGTCCCTCAGCGTGGAAATATTCCCTGGAGCATTACAGACAGAGCAGAAGATTGGAGGCTGGCGAGAAGCTCTAGAAAACGAAATGAATCTGAAGGATAGTGAAGCCTATCACAGACCTACTGGTTCAAAATATATGGTGGGTTCAAGCTCCGCGCCATATTGTAATAGCAAGTATCCTACGCACATGGTAGTGATGGATGCTAGGACGCAACAAGTGTTGGTTGACCAACTTTTCTCTGTGCCAAAGTGCGTGAGGTTGGCCAGAATGTCAGAAAGGTCATATGACTTGTTGGCAAAGATCTTTCGGGCAGTCCCGAAGAGATCCGAAGGCGAGTTGCAAGACGTTGTGGGTGAAGAGTTCATGAGACTGAACGAAGGTAACGTGAGTGAGTTCCAGAAACAGAAAGCGAGTGGAGCGTTACCCACTGAATTCCCCACCATAGAAGAGAAAGACGATTTACACAGAATTCTGATGGAGGTGGAACCGTTGCTGGGAGCCTCAGGGTATCGGACCCGAAGGAACATAGTGAGGACCCATGGGGAGTATCCATGCCACTGCTTGGCGCAGACGTTGTGGTATCCCAAACGCGGGAATCTGATCCTAGTATGGGACGTGGAGGAGTTGTACTCCACGGGATCGCCCGATCAGAATCAACAAGTGTCAATCGTGGTGGTTAGCGCCATGCTAGCAGTGAGATGGCTGGAGGCTAACGCGGATACAAGTCAGCAGGAGACGGCCGTGCCGACTCCTGAACAGCTGAGCAACGTAAAAATGAGTCGTGAATTGGATCTTTTCAGAACCACCTGCAAGGTTCTGAGGATACCTAAAGCCATTGAGAGAATATGGTCAAGGCAAAGATTGATGCCTTGGTTCCGTGCAGTGATGACGTCATGGATGTATGAACGCGCGAAGCGTCATATGTCGAGGAACACGGAAGCCTATCAATCTTTCCAGCTACGTATAGGACCAGGAGCCTATAAGAGAGCATTCTTGACGCACAGAAACGCGGTCACCACAGCGGTGAAGCGGGTAGCTGGAACGCCTTGTGTTACTGAAGAGGAGAAGAAAGAGGTCTTAAGAGCTGACCTAGAACGAAACGTGAGCCTATGTCTTCACAACAGCTTTTGCAGGAACCGGGAGCAGAGGGTGAATGTGGACTTGCTACCTTGCTGCAAACCGAGGCTGTTGGAACAGGAGAGTTGGGGCACGGCCCGCAACTCCATGGACATGCTGGAGAAAGTGTTGGAAGACAGCGAAGCTGATGATCAAGATGGAGAAGTGATGGAGTGAAGATGATCAAAGAAGAGAAGGGAAGGAGAGAAAACTTGATTGTATTTCTGTGCTAAGACTTAAACCAATCAACCAAGTTTTGATTATTGAACTTGTGAAACTTTTTGTTTTGATTTAGTTTGGTCAGACCAAACTATAATGTTGCAATTGTTAAAATTGTTGAAATTATTGATTTTAGTTACTATTATCTATGTATGTATATGAGGAACCTAGGTGAGTATTTTTACCTATTTATTCACGACTGAAGTTTTTAACCTGTGTAAGACATAAATTCACTGTGTGGCGACATGGTAAGTTTGAGTAAACTCGCTCGAGAAGGGTGGGTAACTCAAGAACTTTCCTAGCCACAGAGTTTCTTAGTTTTAATATTGAAAGGACCGCATAAATGACTGATTATACTTGGTGAGTGAAGTTAAGTTAATTTTAACGGGTGCGTAGCCGTGCCACGTCCCACTTTTTAATCACAAAGAGCGAAAAGAAGTTTTATGGCAAGACGACGTAAGTAGTCAGAAAAGAAATTTTATCTAGGACACACCTCATGGTGCAAATATTGTGAAAATGTTGAAAGGCAGTGAGATGTAGTACGATGCCATTTGTGAACACGTAGTGAATGGAGGTGGAGTAGATAAATTTCATTTTCTTATGCAATTTGTAAGATTGATTACAGAAAACTGGATAACTACTTGACGATAACCCGGTGTTATGCGATCAATAGGGACATTGATGGAGACTTGTCCGGGGAGTATGTGCCATTCTGTAGATGACACAGCACAACCTTCCGGCGACGTAGAAAAGGACGGCTAAAGGCCTTATGAACGAAAAAGTGTTGCGAAGGAGGGTCAGAATGTTCTAGAATTTTTAATTTTAAAATTTCGATTGAAGAGTGAACATTTCTGAGAAAAAGAAAAAAGACGGCCATTTTGAATAAAAAAAGACGAAAGGAGAACAACGACAGATATTGTGAAAAACAGTCGTACCAGAGACGGAAAATACGAAGCCTCTTATCGTGGCAACAACGCACGATAAGACACTTGTCAACAGATATTGGTGGAGAAGGAGGCTTCAGTGGGGGAAGAAATACACCACGGAACCCTCCCGGGACACAAATTAGAGGAGATAAGAGCGTTATCTCAGGAATATTACGGGAGCGGAGGCTTGGTCCCCCAGAGACTGATCTATGTGAAGGGACTGTATAAACTAACTTTATAGCTGCTGGAATGTCATAGATCTCTTAATTAACACCGTTATTGTTTGATGTTTCAGAACATGAGTAGCTAGAAAGAGGAAAGGGTCAATCCATCTCCAATGGATTTAATATAGAACTGTCACACAAAAACATGTTAAAATAGGTTGTTCGAGCCGTGTTTTTAATGACAATCACGTAGTCTGAGGATCCGAGACTCAGCTATGTGGTTGTGTTCGCATGTAAACGAAAGCTGATCAAAAGTCGTTCGACTGATGGCCTAAAAATGGTAACTTTTTACTTTGCCCTAGACAGACCAGAAAATCAACTGGGCAAGGTCGAGACGGTGAAAAGCGAGTAGGATTAAGGTAACTGACGCCTGCCAGTCGTTAATAGGTACTTTTCCTACGCTCCGTCGCTGTGTAGTATTTGGGCGAATGTTACATAGACGTTTTTATGGCGCTCCTGGGTGGGCCTGTTAAAGGCATGCAACCATCATGATCAGCAAGCGTTTCAGCGACGAACCTTCCGCTCCGGGCGTATGAAGAAGAAGATTCCGTTCGAGCGTTTTATAGGATTGGTTTCTGAATCTGATGCTAACAATAGAAGATTCATTCAGTAACATAGATCTTAGACCTGGATTTTTATAGAACTTTAGTAAAAACTAAAAAAGTTGCACATAGAACCATTGCGTCACTAAATATAGTTTCTCGTAGATATATCGTGACATTCGGTAAACTGACTGCTCAACTCTTTAAAACGAGCATTTGTATTTTTATTAAATCTTAAAGCTGCCTATCTTTAGATTCCAGTCATCAAGGTCTTACGATTCAAGCCAATTGAATCATCATCAGAACAAACACGAACCAAGTAGATCCACCAAACCGACCAACCAGAGAACCGAAGTACCAATATTCAAAAATGACGACAAACCACCGAGCTTACCTCCGAAAATAAAACCAAAAACACCCTCTCCCAAATTATCTCAGAAACATTATATTAGCAACGGACCAACCCCAGGAAATTTCAAGTCACGAGGTTCAGATATTTCAAACTTAAGACAAAATGGCCATACAAATAACGGCATTACGAGCGAAGCTGTTACTGTCGAGATGAATTTCTTAATGCCACCCGAAAGATAAAATTACGAAGAAAGCGCGAGAATATATGTTGAACTGCAAACTCCGGGTCGTTCTAAACACGATCGCCTTATCAAACATTAACAACGAGAATCTTTGTAAAAAAAATGATTTTTCAATCAAAACGAATAAAATGACAGCTGGAGAAAAAGCATCACAGAAAGACATGAGCTCAAACGACGCTCATTGAAACCCATTCATACAAAAACGTCGCCTCTGCTGGAGATAATGATTCAAAATACTGTAAGTTGAAAAAATAGGAGTAACTAGAAATAAGAAGCTTTCGCAACCCCTTGAATGCTTGATCCAACTGCCCCTAAAGCGTAAAAAATTGCTTCAAAAAAGTTTTTTGTCTTTTTTATCCTCCCAAACGCTAAGGAAAAAAAAACAAAATAATAGATTTAGCGCCTAGTATTGTATTAGAATTGAAAATGATTTAGATAGGGATTAACTTAGTTTTCGGTTAAATTGGAATGGTTTAATTTGCCACTTAAGCTCGTTGCAATATAAGAACCAAACATATCGCGCGTGATTCATTCGATTTTAGCAAAACTAGCAGTTTACCAATCCATATAGTTTCAGAGTTAATATCACAAATATATTTCTATTTTCTGACTTTCGAAGTAGGTGACGAACTTTTTATGCTTGGTGACGCTTTTTTCTCCGGATTAAATTAGATTTTTCTAACTGACTATTTTTTAACAAAATGCTTATACCATCTGAAAAGTTTAACGCCTAGAGCTCAAATGTACGAAAAATAATTTGTCTAAGGTCAATTTTAGAAAAAAAAAATGGGGTTTGGAATATTGACGCACAAGATGCATTGTGCTAAGAACATCACTTTTTCCTGACATAGCGTGTGGGGGAATTATTCTTAAAAATCCGAATGTTTTTAATTGATATTTTCAGAAATTGAAGGACACAGACGGAATTTTTGGAACACTAGCAATTTAGTTTGAGTTTGAGCTCAAAAAGACAATTTTTTCAGAGGACAAAAAATATTGTGAAAACCCTTGGTTACTAGTCGAAATGTACTAAGTAAACAAAAACAGCGCCGAGCATAAACATTCCGTCACAATTACCAAGAGTCAGAACAACAAGACTGCTCGTATCACATCAATGTATTATTTGTTCCGACTGCCTCTTAAAATTTGAGGAAAATGACATCTTCATCATAAATTTTCATCAGTTTTTAGGCTGTAGTTTTCGAAAACTATTTTGCTTCGAACCTAATTAGAATATTCTCTGGGACGGATTAAATCACCGCTCACGCGTTATTATAACGAATTTTATTGCGCTTTTTTTCCAAATTAGTCAAATTGGCAGTTTCAAACCGCCCAAATTTAATGAAAAAAGTAATGAACTTCGAGTGCAGGAAACTGAAACCTTTCAGATGGCATTCTACTCTTCATTCAAAACTGGCAGGGCAAAAAAAATTGTCTGCAAAAAAATCGCATTGAGCACAAATATTTTGTCACTTTCTTCGAGAGTCAGAACAAAAAACATGCAAAACTGGTAAATATAAACTGAAAACCAGGTCAACACGAAATTTATATAAATCTATAAACTTCAAAATTCCTTTAAATTTGTCTTTTGTAGGCCAGCTTGACTTAGCCAGAACTAGACTTCTTCCGGAATACTAAAACCTTTTGCCGTTCAAAAGCGCAATGGCAATGAAAGAAAATGAATCTCCGATCAAAAATGAATCTAAACTTCACTCTTTAAATTGCTTATCAGAATCACAAATCGAGGAGACATTACAGAACCATCAGCACCAAAAGAAGACGAACGTTTCTTTGACAGAAAATAACATTGCAAACGAAACTACACTAACCCAATTAACAAACCAGCTACTATTTGTAACATCGCAAAGGTAAGAACTAAGAGGTTTTTACAAACAATGACTAGTACGAACTATTGTAGTCAAATCTTTTTGAAAAAAAAAACATTTTCATTCAATGTCGCACAAATGCAAAACTAAGATTTATTGAGGCCAGTTCAAATCGAAGCCGAGACATTGTTATTACGAGACATGATTTTACTCTTTTTTTTCTGAATTGAGTTTTTACTTTTTTGTTATCTCATCAAAAAAATTTTAGGTCAAGTGTGTAAAAAAGAAAGGGAAACTAAGTGTTGATTGGCCAAGACGATGAAGCGCCAACTGCCAACTAAACTTTGCAGGATCGAATTTAAAAACGTTTTGATCAAAACTTACGTTAAAAAATGCCCGAAAAAGCTTACAACAAACCACAAATTAAATGATTTTCAGCTATTGTGCAAATTCAAATCTTATTTCTGATACTGGTTCAAGTTGTTTCGGAAATTACCTTATTTTTAGCCAAAATTGTTCATTTTTTATTTAGGGGGCTTTGATGTTTATTCAAAGTTAGCTTAAATTTAGTTTGGATCATATTGCCGATCGGAAAAACTGACGAGGTCTTCTCTGACCAAAACTTACGCTTTAAGTAGGGAAAAAATAGACACCAAACTAAGAAGCATGCACTAGGTTAGAACTTTATCGGTTACTCGTTTCAATACACCTCGTTGAATCTTGTTTCAGGGTGGAAGAAGAAGCTGCCTTAAAAATTGAAAAAGAGAGACACTTAAAGTTGGACTTACTCCGCGAAGAGATGCGACAGCAGCAGCTAAAAAATCAATTGAATCACGCTCGATTAGCAATGGAGAGAGAAAACTTCCAAATCAGAGAAAACGAAGTCTCCAAAGATCTCAAACAATTTAAGTATGAAAGGGAGAAAATAAGGCGGGACCAAAATAGTGAAACTTTGAGCTCAGAAGAGGAGCTTGGCCAGATGACTGAAGAAAAAAACGCAGTTGAAATAGAAGAAAACTATCCAGGTCTGTAAAAAATTTCAGAAGTTAACAAAAAAAAAATCGGTGAATCTCATCGTGTCTTTAAATTGCATAAACTGCACATCGAGAAAACTGCGTTCAATGGAAACAATGAAATTTTCATACATATCTAGTCATTTTAGGTTCAATTTTTCATATCAGTTCTAGAGACAGCCCTATCCAATTTTGTTTTCCATTTCAGACAATGGAAGAAAACACGAGGACTGCAGAAACTCTGAGAACGCTGCTCCAGAATTCGAATCACAAAAGACATCTGATACAAACCCCACTTCAACCCCACCCCTACCCACAGATTAGCATAATCACATAATTCACTACACAAGAAATGGATAGCATGAAAATGCTATTGTTTGTACAGGATTTTTGCAGATGCTTCATTATTGAATTGTAAATTTTGCATATTTAGACATTATCATCAGCATATCACAAATTAATACTTTTTCTTTTTGCTTTTTCAATTTTAGGAGAAAAAATATTTCGTCCTCAACGATTTCAAAAACTTGCTTTCAAGGTTTTTTCTTTGCCATATCAGATCAAATTTATAGGTTTCTTTTGACATTTTTGATATTGAAACTAAAAAATGCCAAAAAACGAAGACGAAACAGCAGTTTGAGAAAGTGACTGCTCGTTTTTCACCTGGTTTAAAGTGGAAAACTACAAATTTACTAAAAAACAAGAAAGTCTGAAAACTGCAAAAACATGCTACTTTGAAATTGGAAGATAAATTTTAAAGTTCAAAATAAAAACTCCAATTAGCAGAAACATAAAAAAGGCCCAAAAATTGAAACAACAACATTTAGGTTTAGACTTAAAGAATTGTACACTAGACTTTTACCGACATATTGGTTCCCTAAAACCTAAAATCACTGCAATTTTTGCACGTTCAAAAAAAACCCAAATGAAACCTTTGAAACGCCTATTGTTATTATTTTTCGGAATTTCAAAACCACTGATGGATGAAAAGACTACTACCAATCTTTTAAAAATGAAGATGTTTCAAAATACAAACAACTAACAATTGATGTATTCATGAAGCAATATAGTTATATTATTTACACAAGATTTTTTATCGAGTTAATTAAAATTTGTTACTGCCAGAAACTACTAGCGAAAAATTATAGAAAAATCGGATCGTTCATAATGTCGGCCTCATACGAGTATTCTTCTTGTTCTGACTTTCGAAGAAAATATGGAGTAATTTTGCTCGGTGACGTTTTTTTTCAGACTAGTTTTGACTTTTAACTGATACTTATTCTTTTCATGACTAGTTTCGACTTTTAATGATACAACGTTTTTTGCTGCAGTAAAGTCGATAAATTAATTTAGAAAAATTGAAATAAAATTGATAATTTTTTATTCGTTTTTTTTTCTTATCCCCCACACAATATTTAAATTATGAAAAGATGTAAGCGCGTCTCGTATTGTTTTAATGAGGTTAAAGCGCTAAAAGTTTCACTTTGGGTTACTTTGATTCACCTTTTACGCGTTGCAAGAACAAAAAATTAGCAAATCATATAATACAGTCTGGCAAAAATATCAATGTTCAAATACTTAGTAACTTTACGAAAATTGATGCAGAAATTTGATTTCAGCTTGAACTCAATTCAACGATGTCTTTCTGATGATATTTAAAAATTTGAAAATATAGATCAATTAAAAATTTGAAAATTGATTGAATACAGAAAATAAACGCAATCATTGAAGGGCTCTTTTCCAGTTCCCCCTACCCCTTGAAATTCAATTTTGAATAGTCTATTTAATATTGTCACAATGCAATGAAATTTGGCGTGGTTTTTTCCGTCATTTTTTTGAGAGCCAACAAGTGAATGACTTGTACATAGTGCGCGGTGAAAACTGTTTCAAAAAATATTTCTTTCTATCTTCAAATGTTTCTTTCATTGTTTAAAGGCGACTGGTTTCTTGGATCCTTAGCGGCAGTCGGAACATTCAGGGTTTTTCCCTGATACCAGCAGTTTTGTTTTCATTTTGTATTCGAAGTTAGAGCAGCTACAAGGAGCGTCATGATCTAAATAACAAAAATGTACAGATTCTCACTCACATATTTTCAATATTTGGGGAAAAACAGATGAGAGGCAGATGAATTATTTTGAACTGAGATCCTTGATATGTTTATATTGTTTCTTTTTGCTGCGATTTTCTAAGAAAACAGAAAACTTATACTTGAGGTGGTTTTTGTCAGTCAATTTTCGGCAACCGAAATCATAGTTTTTAACATTTTATTTGCCCCATTTAAGATATCGTCTCCCCCAAATCAAAATGAACAAGATTTATTGTTCCGACTTTCGATACGAAAGTAACGGAATATTTGTGCTCGGGGTGGGTTTTTTTCTTCAGACAAATTTCGACTTTTTAACTAGCCTTTTTTGACGGATTTTTTTTATATCATTCGAAAGATATTGTTGTCCTGAGCTCAAATTTGAAAAGATATTTTACCTGTGATCTTTTTTTGTAAAGTTATGGGGGTTTAAAGATTGCAATATGTTTCACGCTATTAACGCGTAAGCGGACAGTTAATACGTCTTAGAAATCGTTCCAAATTGGTTGAAAGAAGCTTATTTGCCGTAATTGATTTGTTATAAGCAGCAAAGTTTATCCTTTTGTACTTTATAAGGCGTGTGGGGGGATGATTTTGATTTTGAAAAATTCAAAATGAAAAAAAAATTCATTTTTTTATTACATTTAACTTTTCAAATTTATTACTGCTCCATGAACCTTAAAAAGCAGTCGGAACATTCAGGGCTTCGCCCTGATACGAGCAGTCTTGTTTTACTTCCAATCATTTTTTGGGAAGTAATAGGAGTTTCAAAATTTCCAGTTTGGCCATACTCTGGACTAATTTAGATTGGTAATCTTGCTGCGCGCTTTGCAGATTTTATCCACAATCTTTAGGCGTAACGCAAATTATTTATACGTGGCAAAATATTTTGCGCAAGAAAATCGTTTCAAATAGAATTGAGGCTATCAATTGGTTGTATCAGTTTTGTGCGCCTCAAATGTTCTTACTTGATCTTTGATATGTGCCAAAAAATATTCAATACGGATTAAAGAGCAATCGTAACATTCAGGGCTTTGATATACAAGCAGTCTTGTTTTAAATTATTTCCCAGATCGAAACGAAGACTCGATTCTAAATGAAGATCTGTAAAGGAATTTTTTATTGAATAATGTCCTATACTTGTACGTGAAGGCTCAATTGCAAATGAAGATTCAGTTCTATCTGCACTTCGCTTATGTTTAGCTGAGCTTTTGAAAAGTAAGTCCATTGTTTGTCAAAACTGAGTACTGAGACAACCAAATTTTGGAATCAAGACAAAACGGGCTCGGAAAACATGCAGCTGTTGATTATCAAGAGTTTTCATTGAATGGGTCGATAAAACATTGCCGGGTTTTAAAGGAAAAAAATTCAGTGGTGATACGGATTTAAAGAATTTAAAAGTGAGCTTGACAAAAATCGATAAAAATCTTTCAATTTTTTTTTTCGTTTTTGACCTACTTTTTTCTCATATCATTTCAGCTTAGCTTTGCATATAGCACGATATGTGTGCCTTGTTTCGCAGTTTTATTTGCAATGTTTCGCAGTTTTCATAGTCCACATTTATTGCACACATTCATAGCATTTTTGTTAGATTTGTAGAAAGGGCTTTTTTTATGTGTGACCGCATCGAATCACCGGTTTTTTCAAACTGCCATTTTTTGAGTAACGTGGAGGGAACAATTTTGGAAAGTGGGGTTGTTTTTCTTCACCCTGCACCCTGTTTTTCAAACGGTCTTCGTTTCCAAGTGGAGGGTCGGACGGGGAACTAATTTTTGAAAGTGCTTTCTTTTTGAAAAAGAAAGGGCTAGTGGCTTTTGCTGAAAGGGCTACTAGCGAGGTCATGGCAAAGCGTGGACCCCGACTGACCTTAAGTTGATGTTCCAGTTAGATATGTATCATTAATGTATTTATCTTCAATAGTCATCAGTGTTGACTTCATCAGAGCAAGGTCATCAATTGTGAGTTCTGGGGTAGGGTACAGTAAGGCTAAGGTAGGGTACAGTAAGGGAGTTAGGGATAGGTAGGGTAATGCATATCTCCACTGACAACCTTGGAATTGAAATCAATTTAAATCGATTTTTATACAGATATTATGCTGTATGGAAATCAATTTACGATAGCCTATTTAGATACGTAAGCCGATATAGAATATTTTGAATGGATTGTTACGGTAGAACAAAAAAAAAGATTTAAGTGTGAAAAAAAGGGACTTATTCAAATGGATTTTCGCAAGGCAATGAAATCATAAAATTATTGTTTCGAAGATTGGGCAGTTTTTCTACTCAACAAAAGCTCCATCAGAGCCACAGAGAGCAAGAGTCACTCAATGAGGGTTTTTTCTACCGCAATCTAGTGTGTGTAAGGTATTCCTGTTCATTTCATGCGAAACTAATGGTTCCCGATGAAATAAAAAGTACAACTATTAAATTTTTTTTCCAAATGTGATTTTCGTTACTAACGTTCTAGGCTCAATTTTGCTAGGCATAAATCATACAATTTCAATAATCAAATTAGAACAATTCAATTTTGGTGCAGAACATTTCGATATTAGTTATCCTCTTAGTTTTTTTTTCAGGCCAAACATCAAAACGAGCCGTGAATTGAAAAACTATATGTTAAAATTTTATTTCAACTACTTCTCTATTGTTTGATAGAAAATATGAATTTATTCTGTATTTAATCGGTAAGTAATCGTTATAAAATGATTATGCAAAAGTCATTAAATGCCGATTTAAAGTTATTTTATAGTTACGCAAACCTGTAGAAAATTGAAACCAAAACAGTTGACAAAAAAAAACAGTAGATTTACATCGATTTAGAATCCAAATGATTTGTTGTAAATTTTCTCCTATATTATCAGTATAAAATTAATTGCAACCCATTTCCTGTCAGTACGGGTAGGATAGAGTACGGCGAGGGAACAATAAGAGTAGGTTAGGGTAAAGCTAGGGCAAGGTTAGAGTAAAGGTAGAGTACGTGTAGCATAGAGTAGGGTAGGGTAAGGGCAAGGGAGAGTAAGGGGGAAATTAGGCTTCAATTACGTCAATGTGTCATTCAGTGTGTCATTAAGCTTGCCCATTATTAGTCGATTTTTCGAGGTTATGATTTGATTTTTGTCTTGGACCAGATAAATTTCTATAATTAATTGGAACTCAGTGATTTTTCCATTCGAAAGCGGTCATTTTGCAGTTCTGTAAATCAGATTTAAAAAAAAACATTTGACTTGAAAAATTTCCCCAAGGAAATTGCCAAAATTCATCTAACAAACAACCAAAAAGACGGAGAACCGAGTAATAACTGCAAATGAATTCGCGCGCTCCGAACACGAGCTTTTGATTACTATGTTCAAAACGAGCTC